CTCAAAAAAAGGTGGCAAGGCTATCCTGTCGACAATGGTAAGGCCCGCCTGCTATAACGGTATACGTTGACAATACTGACTGTTGTGGTTGTAGGAATTGTTATATTATATACTAGCTGTGCCTGCGGTTTCACCCGCGATAAATTTCAATATAAAATATACCCTATGTGTTATTCTGATGCTATATTACTGTAAACTTTAATTAAAATCCGTACAGTAGTTTTTGCGTGAAAGATTAACAAACGTCGATATTTACAAACTATCGCATTTAGGTATAATATTAATAAGATGCTCTAAATATACTCGAATTATCGATGCTATAAGACAATAATATCAATCTGAGCATATACTCGCAATCGCAATAGCAGCGTTGATTAAACGTGATTAGTTCTAGAGTAGATAATCGTGTATCATATAAATCAATTGAGTATGTAAATCAACATTCTAATAGTTCTAACATGTATTTAGTATTATTGACTACATTTACATTCTTAATAAAAACAGCATTAATTAATAAAAGAATTGGGAAGTTATTATATCGATATCCCAATTTTATTCAATTACTATACACTTTCAATTCACTTTGTCTACTTCTCTTTAAAAAGTATACAAACAAATGTAATAGTACTGAAAAAGAGAGAAGCCAACCTCCACGCTGTCTCCTGAATTGCATCCTTATGTTTTTTTTTTGCTTTATTATTGTAGATCATGTAGGATATATTTTATTAATAGAAATTAAAATACCTACAATAATTGCCCTTGTGTAAAACCGGGGCGCTTCGCTAGTTACAGATACATTGTCATTAAGACATTGTCTTTCAGCGATAAGGCCGCCTTTTGTTGGCATATTAAGTTCTTTTTGTAATTTTTTTATGCACAATAATGAGTATTATTGTTATTGTCTAAACCTTGTGTATTTTATCATATTGTTTACTTCGTTATTTAGCTCCGAGCGAGTACTTTTAAATTGGGGCGTGTAATTACGTCGACGGATGACAATGCTTTTTATTCCAACGAAATGAGGGCAAAAAACAAATAAATAGTCATTATTTGCATGTCTCACGTGGCCCAATTTCAAACTCACTATACGAGAGGCACTTTTTTCAGGGTAATTTGTCAGTTGATTGACGGCCAACGCGATGCGACGCAATCCAACTTTAAAAGTTTTGGAAAGCAAACTACATTTTTTTTATTACAGGTAATAATATTTTGTATAGCCATTATCTTTACAAACAACTTGCACTAATTATGACACCGCTTTATTTCCGATGTTCGCGGGTTCGATGCCTCGCACGCTGCAAACATTTGTATAAATGCGTATGATTGTTTGTATTGGTCTGGGTGTTTTCTGTGTATGATAATAATATTTTTTATTTTTCATCCAAGATTTACAATTTACATTGTTCCCTAGTACCTAAACGAAGTAGAAACCTTTATTTTAGGTACCGTCCCTCCTCTTAATTCACAATTATTGGAATACAATTGATCGAAAACATAACAAAAAGTATAATATCTCTATATTTACAAAACAAAATATCTAAGTATTTATATCACTTGTCTAGTACCCATAACACAAGTTCTGCTTACCGTGGGACTAGATGGCACTATGTTAATTGTCCAGGGATATTTATTTATGTATTTTAGAATTTTTCTTAAACATAATGCACTTGAGAAATAAGTATTCCTTCAATGGTATAACTTGAAAATATTTTCTTACCAAAATGGACAGTCAGAAGTACTATGACATAGTTTTTATCATCTTAATTATGATAAGGTATGCAAATAAACATGTAGGAAGACACTAGTAATAAAATAAAACCACATAACTGTTATTTAAGATGTTTTATTATTGAAATCAGAATAATTTACATTGTAAAAAATACACATACTCCAATTATTTATACGCTAAGGTTAACATTTTTCAGTTTTCATCAGCTCTATTTTACACTTCCTATGGCTTTAATTTCATTTACTAACCTAATTTGACATTTTACATCTAATTTATTGAAGATCTTCAAAAATCACCTCATACATGTACATTCAACTACATAATTATAGTACCAGATAGAAGAGGGAAGGGTATTTTTATTAATGTGGTAGTAATAACACCATTTTTAGTAATATCAGGTCGACCTCCACACGGTTCTCTAAAAACCGTCATGATAAATTTCCATTTAGCAAGAGGCTCATTTTATCATCCTCCGCTAGCGTAAACTGTTAGCTTAAGCGGGTGCATCATTCAATTATTATTCATAAAAAAATGTCTGATAAAAATAAATTAATATATACATGTTAATTTTGTATATATTAGCATATTTTTACTTTTTTTTATTTGTTTCTGCGTTTACCTCGACTGATTTTGATATGGTATTTACTATTATGTAGAAAATTTCATTAGGAAGGTTTATTTGCATAATACTTGCATTTAGTTATATGTAGATCTACCATTATATACATATCTGTGAGTAAGGACCATGAGTAAGGAGCTATTATATAAGTATTTTTTAAACGTGTGCTATTCAGTTATTACAATAATGAATTATTTCTTTTTCATTATAAAATCACGTGAATTCGATTGAAATCGTGTCCTTATAATTTCTTTTTCTGTACTGTTTCCACCGATTATTAAGGAAAGAAGGAGGTATTAGACCTTTTTTTTAAATTATTAGTGTGTTTTAAACTCTATTAAAATGTATAATTAATGTACATGTATGAAATGATTACACTTAAATTACATATAAAGAAAATCCCTCGTAAATTAAGCATCCATTTTCTTTGGCATAAGCGATATTCAAAATATTTGGAATTTTAATATCGCCTGTTTGAATTGCGATAATTTATATAAACAATCTAGTTATATATTTAAATAATGTCACGAAATTAACTAGAATTTGAGCGATTTAATATCGTCTTTGAAATAGAAAGAGAATTATTGTTTAAATCATTTATATTGACAAATTTAATATTGAATATTAAAATAAAATTTAATTACACCCATCTTAGTATCTGTGATCAACGCGACGGTTTACTGGTGGAGAATGCCATCAGGCATTAAGTCCGCCATTTATACCATTTTGTGTGCAAAAGAATAAATAATAAATACGTTTTAAACGACTTCATTCGTTTTAGTACATTTTTAAATCTAGTTCAAGTTAAAATGCCTGATAGAATAATATTGTAAAATGAAAATGGTAGAATAATTAATCATCCATCTTGATATTAATTTATTCTGAAAGTCTGTATAGTTACTTTTTGCTACCTGGGGCAGGAATATAAGGAAATTAAACAAGATATTTTTCATCTGCTGAAGCTGTAAAATTGTTTTTATAATACAAAATACTGCTTGGTGAAATATTCCTCTTAATACATGCTGGTATACAATAATAATACATTTTCACGACTACTCACCCGGAGGTGGTGGTCAGAGATTACGGTTACCAAAATTCATGGAGACTGCAATACTTACCATGCTCACATTTCGCTATATTAGAATCATAACGTGACGGGGTGTGTTATGGGTGTTTACAACACTAGTCACTAGAGAGTCATATAAATTGATTAAAAATTAAGTTTTTTTTGGTGTTGTGGCCAAATTTGAACTCACGATCATTTAGGCGCAATTGAGAGTAGTAAACATCCTAGACCACGGCGCTCTCTCTAAAGCTGGTATATTATATATAGTGTAGATTTGCTGGTTATAAATTAAATTTGATACATAGTATAATTAAAATACAGTACATAAATTAATAATCATATCTAAAAACATATTGTTAATTTTTTAATAAAAATAAAATTTGTTTCTTTGGATTCACTTTATTATTGCATCTAAATTAACAATCGAATATTTCTCAAAAGTCTTAGGTAAGCGATATGTGTTTTTATTACTATTTTTAAATCTCTTAAACCGCTTTCTACGAGAGATTATCATAAGATTTATTTACTGTAGCGAATCGACGAATTTTTTCTCAAGTATAACGTCACAAACTAAATAAATAGCATACCCTTCTCTAAAATACTTAGTTAATAATATTCTGAATTTATTTAGTCATATTACAGATGGTAATTTTGAATAATTTAGTTTATTACATCATAAGACACAATAATATTTTGTACTAGAGCAGAAAATATTTATTCATGTAGTTTTAAAATTACGTTCAAAAATAGCTCAAATCAATAGAAGCATCTATTTTGGCGGGAAAAAACTCTTTACAATAGTTTTATTTATAAGTAGAGGGAATATAACAGGAGTATAATTTTGAGACTTCCTAATTCAGCCGGTAAACAGTGGACATGTGTGAACATGAACATCCATTGACGTATTATGTATATAAAGTAGATAGAGCAGACGCTTATACACAACCCACGCAGTAAAAAAGGTAAAAATTTCTCTTCTGTATTTGATTACATAACTGTATTCATATTAATTTTATTTCTGCAGTATTTTGTACAGATAACTTATTTTTATTAAAATACTTATCCATAGCTGTGAACATAGATATATGAAGTGATTTAGTGAAATACAGTAGTAATACCGCTCTAGACTGAAACTGCGGCGGCAAGTGCGATGTCATCTCTATATGTGTATAAATACATAATACCTCAATTTGAACATCTAGATAATGATGAGAAGAAAACTCATTACTCTTTTCCATTTAGCCTAAGTCTTAATACTAACCATAATTGACAAACGAAAAAAATATTTTAAGAAGCTTACATAGATACAGCGGTAAACAAGGTGTATCTCAAACATCGACAGTCATCTCTTATTAAATTTATTTTATACAATAATTTTATTGAATAGTTTTCTTTACACACTGAATTTACATTAAAACATTGAAACTAAAATGGTTTTGGAATAGAAACAAACTAATACCTCTGGACGGACAGACAAAGATTCTAAAAAATATCTATACGTAAAATGAAATAGAAACATGTATATGAAGAATTTAGTTACTTATTATTTCCTTCATTATAATTAGAATTAAAAAAAAACTACAGTTTGAATTTCGAAAAGGGAATTAAAAAATTTCAACCAGCATAAATTCGAATAACTTAACCATTTTAAATTTGAAAAAGGAATTACGTGAGATTATTTCGCCAGTCTTCGCGCGGCTGTGGTAGGGTGCAGTTGGTTGCACACCACCGTGATTGCGCTGTTGGAGGACACGGTGCACCACCGGGCCGTTGGCGGCGGAGTATCCTGCGCGTACGCAATACGGATCCGACGCAGCCGCCATCACTGCGGCATGGACTCCATTCTCCCCACGCTGAGACGCGGCAATCTAGTAGCTCTGCGATATGAAAATTATAATATAGTTTTTATCGTTTTTTTTACTAAATTGTAACATTAATTTCGTCGTCCATAATCAATTCAGAGTAATGCAATAAATTTCAGATATAATTTATTCATGCAGGACATCTTAGTCACTTATCCAGCTATCTTAGCTAAGTTTTTTTTGTATTATTTATTTCCTCTAGTAATAGGATAGACAAACATAATGAAACTAGTTTGAAATATGAGAAACGTACTAGCTCTTTTTCGCTTTCTCCTCTCCGCTGGGTCAGCATTGTCCGCGCGTAGCTTGCGTCGTCGCCTAGCCCGGTACCGGCGTGCTAGGCTGCGTAGCGCTGACCTTTCGCTGGCAGTAGGCCCTGACGTTGGCAGCTCGTTAGCTGATCGTGGTTCTTCTGTCGTGTTGGCCGATGTATTCGTACTATATACAAAGATATATACATTTGATATAATATTCTGATTTACTTTTGACAGACGAATGCTTTAGCAATGTTCTTTGTTTCTTTGTAAAGAAAGGTTTCATAGAAATATTACTATCATTATTATCATTGTGTATATGATCTAATATCAATCTATTAACATCTCTTAACTGGATATGGGTGTCGTTACCTTTTTGCTATAATAATTATACTTGTTGGCTTCTAGTAAAAGTTATAGTATAACTTTTGATGAGTTCTATGTTCATCGTAATAGTAAAAAGTATTTAAGCTAGTTTAATTTTAAGTTCTATTTCGATTAAAAGATTAATGTTCTCTTGTCAGACCAGAGAAAGTAAGATTCGAGAGAAATTCATACAATAAAAACCTTAATGTACTTACACAGTGTAGTAAGAGTAAGTGCCATCAGGCGTGGTCATAGACCCCTCAGAATAGATTTTGGGTGCTTCAGCACGTTCAATTTCCTCAGCAATGGACAGTGCTCTGTTACCATCCAACACGTCGATACTGTTGTGGCTGAGCTTATCCAGTTGAAGAACGTCGTACCTTCGATCATCACTAGATCGGTGAAATACTTCGGACAGTTCGTATTCTCGCAGCTATAAACATATTAGTTCCATGTTAGTTATTGACTTATTTCTATACGACCTGCAATGTCTATCAATGGCTGACGTAATGTAAAGTGGAAAATATTGTCTATAGGAGTAACCAGCATCGTAAATATCATAAATAAGATATTGTACATAAAATATGGTAATATTACTGCTTTCTACTTATCTTGTTACTCAGTTGCAGAACTAAACAAGTGGGACATAGTAGCAAAATAGTCATCGAGGTGTATGAATCAAATTTTACAGAAAATCTAAAATTCTAAAATTGATTTTTACACTGTGTAAAGCGCAACATATTTGTAAATAAGTGAGACGTCTTCTCTAATCTATTTGTAGATAATATATCAATGACTACAATATACATGTTGCACCTATATAGACATGTCTGTGAGAGTATACATCCAAATTTTACTATGGATATTTAAATTGAACGTAGTACGAGGTCAGTCATTACATGCCATTGGATGTTCTATTAATTTTTTAACATTTAAAATTAAACCGTGAAGTCAAGGAGTTAAGTGACTTTTGTTGTTTGACAATAAACTGCACCTTAATGAACTGGTAAGTGGCTATGGGCGGCAATCTTCTCAGGTGAGGATAGAAGAATGATCCAGCTGGGTGTGACGGGTACTTAGATGTAATACGATAAGCGACGCCTTGTGGTGCAGTCGGCCAGTTTGGAGCCGTGAATGTGAATCCGTTGTCAGTCCCAGCGTCTAATGGATCCACCTGATATAAAAAACTCGAATTATGAGATGAACTTCTTAGTACTCCACGACGCCGTATGAATACCAGATGGTAGAACACACTGTTTTCGGAGGAGATAAAAGGTCTTGTAAAACATTATATATTTTCTTTATAATAAGGGTACTTGTTTACCCCTGTCCGGGAAATCCGGGAATATAATATACCAGGTGAATTTGTCACGACAGCCTAACTGAACTCATATCATGCTTATCTTAGCATACTTCACTGATGCTCGGGCAGCATAAATTGTTAGCGCAGGCACATGGACTTTCATTCCATGAGCATCCATTAATAAAAACACATTATAACAGGCCAATATGTTGAATAAAAAAAAAATTATTCGTCTATTAGTTTCTGTGTGGAAAGATACACAATCATCCATCTATTCTTGCAAACTTCCGCGTTTCTAATATCAATAGGATATAAGCTTAGAGATAATTACAGATATAATTAGATCATTATATATACATACCTCAATAGTAATACTGTCAAGCCAATTTCCGTCCACGCAGAGATCAAAGCTGTCTATACCTATAAACCAGTCCGGAGATGGAATCATTCTGGCCATCACAGATACCTGAAACAAATTAGATTTAATGAATTGATTATTGCCTCTATGTATTGTCTAATACGATAGATTTGATAGATTAGTCAGATACAGTCTAATATTAGTTACCTATTTATTTTATACGTAATGAGAAATAAAATAATAAAAAAAGGATTTGCTCACAACTGGTGAAATTTTTGCGATACATCGCTGGCTTAAGAAAATTAAAAATATATAAGGAATAAAGTTAATATAATTATAATAAAGTTTAGTTCCAGATTACGTTGGTACAGTCAAGTCATGAGAGGACCAGAAGATTAGAAAGATACTAAACGTCAATCCTGAACAAAAGAAGCGTAGAAGACTACTCGACTTACATGGATAGGCGCTATCCAAAAAGATATTCCATGTGTAAATATAGCCCCAACGACTATCCAGACAAGAAACCTCAGGAGACGTATGATTAGGAGAGTCGATCCCAATTAAGATGTGATAAGGCCGAAAATATAGTAGTAGTAGTAATATACTACACTAAAATATGTACCTACCCTTCACACTGTGTAAAACATTTGTTCACGACCTAAACTAAGATAAAACAACTTCAGCAGGTTTAAAAAAAGAACTGTTTGTGTAATCTCGTAAAAGCAATAAGACTTCTTTAGAATTGCACTACGTTACAAATATACATATAAAATAATTTGAATAAAGAACTATATTCAATACAATAAGCAGCCAATATGTCTAGGATACTCACATACAAAAACAATATGATTAACGCAAATTTAATAACTCTACATTACCTTATTTTCATACACTTTCAATATTATAATTTACAACGTTAATTTTAAAGATTGAATTACTTTGTGGTTACACAAGGAAAAACTCGTCAGAAAGAATTAACGACGAGTTTAATTATGCTGATCAAAAGCTTTCCGTGAATATAATGACAGATAATTATTTTATATCTGACTGCGGGCTTGTTCGTAATAGTCATTATAACAATTAATCTGTGGATAATCTTCTTTTGACCTGGGCTTTCACATTCGATAGCGCAAACAAAGTAATTATTATATTTCAATGAACTGAATTCGTTGCTTTCGTGTACTTTAACAGAAAAGTCTGTATAATTTATTTTTATATTCACCTATTGTAATTTTAACTTATTAATAACTTTATCTTTAATATAATAAGATCATGATGAGGCGAGAACTATTATTTTATTGTTATTGTTTAACTGTTAATGTGGAATACAGGCCACTTATTTAGTTTATAACCTATTTTATATACTTTATATTTCGAATACCAAAATTCTATTCTAAATTGTCACTGGTTGATATTTGTCCTTTCGGTTTCCCTTCCTGGCCCTAGTTAGTAGTGTTTCTTTATAATATACTCTTATAATAATATATACAATATATATATATGCTACAATTCTCTGGTTTCCTTTATCGCCCACAGTTAATGTTTCAACGTCTAGAAGAGATAAGATGATCTTTCATTACAGAATCAATATTCCTATTTCTAATTTTGATTGCAAAATTAATTTGTGACCATGAATAGGATATATAGTATATAGAAAGGTACGAAATGGTACAATTCAATTGTAGCGAATCCTTGATGAATATTACATAATTTTTTAATTTTGTACTAATATTTTTTTGGCATACGCTTTTTTTGTAACTGATACATATCGCTATCATACTAGTTGCATCTAAATTGTATCCGTATTTTTCCTCATAAAACTCTTACTCATCTTGTATATCAGATATCTCCGCTACATCAATATAATTAAATCAGAATTCACTTTTAGAGCAGAATCGTAGTTGTTTCTCAATACAATTACATAATGAAATCGAAACTTTATATATAAGTATTGATAATATCGCTGACAAATAATGTACGAAATACAGTACCAGATACAAAGATATGTCACTGATATCGAACGATATCGAGCTGTGTATAGATATGGCTCATCTCTTGCATTGACATCAAAGCGTGTACGTCACTCATAAAGCGACAGCATATCATAAGCTACATCTGTATTGACAGGTTACTCACTAATGCGGGCTGATTTTTTGTTCGATGTAATTTAAAATCAAAATAAAAAATACTTTATTCATCTAGGTATACATTTTAGCCGCTTAGGAATGTCAAATGTTTTGTATTATAATTTTTTTTCTCTGCCGTCCAGTTCAGTATACAGATTCAATTGAGAAGAACTGGCAAGAAACTCAAGTGTATTTCTTTTAATTTGCAAGTACTGATAGCCTGACTGTCGATAACCGTCGCCTCATGGTCTAGCTCTTTAGCATACCGCCTTACATTCCGATGGTCGCGGGTTTGATTTCTCGCACAGAAATCTAGTCTGGGTGTTTTCTATGTACATTATGTATCTATTTGAAAAATATATTTATGTCAGTTGTCTAGAATCCATAACACAAGCTATGCTTACCGTGGGACTAGATAGCCCCGTCTGAATTATCCTAAGACATTATATATTATTAGTATTATATATATTAGTCATATACATACTATAACTATATGTGATATCCGTAATACTTATACGTTATCATATTACAGGACTGAGGTGTTATGGCCTTTATTTCATGGCGATTTTAGTCTTACTGCATTTCTGCAAGCAGATGAGTATGTTCGATAAAATTCTTTTTTTTATCGAACGTAATTTAAAAAGATTTTTTTAAAATACATAATGTATGTCTTATTCCTACACCACCAAGGTCGCAGATACAATGATTCAATAATACGTAAAACAATACTGTGACTAAAGTATCCAAAGAAATTTATTCTTGTCTGTGCAATGATTCAGAGACATAGTAATGTTACTCATAAATATACTTTAGAAATAGATTGGCACAGAAACATAATAACCTCAAAACGTATAGACTAAAACCGCTCACTTATCTGAATTATATATGAACCATTGACCGCCCGTCATTCATTATGGAGGGACGGGTATGTTTTGTAATAGTTATTTCGTATGTATCAAATAGTCATTGATGTATACAATATCTATGTATCGGAACAATGTTTGTTTTTTTTTTGGACTACTTTAACTCTTTTGGCTGCAGCGGGCCTTTACAGCTTCGTCGGACGATAAGAGGCGAGTGCAGATGACACTTCCGCGGAAGGACTTATGGATCGGCTGAAGGCCATCTCCCGCCTAACGTATACGACTTTAGTCTGAGGGCACACCTAAAAGTTAGAACCTAGGGTCAGAGCTCTGTAATCTCAGAGCATTGTTCGATTCCAGTTTGTATTAGTCGGAGGATCGTTCAGAGGGAAACAATATCTGGTATCTAATAAAAGGCATACCATGAGCGTCACGTGATATAATGATGACTTTGCTGTACATGTCTATAGACAAAACTTTTCATCCAGTAGGTGTTAATTTATTAACTTACATCTTTCTCTAAATTGATAAATTAACGAAGTTATACGTATAATTAGCAAAAATCACGGAACCTTACCACGTTTTATTTTTATTGTGTTCCCGACATCCCGTAGTCTATAGTAGTTACTAACAAATTGGATCTCTGTTATTTGAATAAATAAAAATAAATTTAATTTAAATATATGTATAGTTCCCGTTTTTTAATATTAGGAACAAACGAAGATGTCTGAAGGTAGACGTGTCTGCCCATAAAAATAAATTTATTTACCATCTACCCGGTGCTCTTCAGTTTATCAGTGACCATGGCAGTTGAAATACTGCCTAAATATCGCCAAACAAAAATCGCGTCAAATTTAAAACAGTATATAACGAAGTCATTTTCTCCTGAAAAATATGGTGTTTTACTACTGGTGAAGTAACCTAATCTCATTATCACTCTATAATCTTCCTGTTGCCCAGCCAGCGTATACTTTAAAGCAATTCACTGGAATTGTTGGGTTAAAAATTCCGATGAAAATTGTCGTTTATCTACATAGGTCCTTATGGCTTAACTGCCTATAAAACGCAGACACGATGCATAGTACGATAAAGTTCCCCTTTTGTCATTACGCCATTTGAGTCAACAATTTTTCTACCCGCGCAAACAAACGTGCCGTAATTGTTATTTACCCTGGGGAGCATTAATTATCGACGAAATACGATATTTTCCGATATTGTAAGCGATACAATTCCGTAGCTTTGTACAGCTCCGCGGAATTTAATTGTAAAATTAACGTGGCTTTGTCGGTATGATTTTCAATTAGTAGAGTGTATTTGTAATTTGTAACTGTAATAACATATTCAACGGAATATTTGTAGTGTTAATGAGTGTTAATTGTCATTATTATTTTGATTTCCCGGATTTAGTCATTTGTGGAAGTGAGTACCCAAATTTCGTGAGCTTATTTATCGGAAATATGAATATAATGGTTTATTCGGCAGTTGAGTTAAAACAGAAAAAAGAAGGAAAAAATTCATAACAAAAATAAATAACTTGACATTTATTTAAATGTGACTGTATTCCGTGAATTATTTGACATTAGCTGTCAACGAATAAGTCGTTTAGTGCGATTTGCAACTGTATCACTTAAGTTGTCGAAAAATAAACAATTGCAATTATTTATTTTACATTATATTATAGACTTGATAACAAATTGCTACATTATCAAGTCTCGAGTACTAGTAAATGCTATTAATATTTCCTATAAATAACCTATAAAGCTTTTACGATTCTTTCTTTATGTAAACAAGTTGACGGCCTACAAGATAGTAAGCGGTACCCGTCGCCTATGTAATAGAACAACAACATCACAATATCGTGTAATACCAGTAATACTACTCATACGTTGCAATTCTAGAGGACTAAGATGTCTATAATTTCACTGCCTCTCTTATCCTATAAATTCACTGCCTCGTATGCGCCCTACAATCGAAACACAACTTACAAAGCAAGTTGCTTGTCGTCTTAAATAGATGAAACTGAGGTATCCACGCAGATGACTTTTTACATTCTACTCTGATCAAAAATTTCATATAAACAAGAATAAACTGTTTATTTTGTACCAAAATTATTTATATCACATTCTAAGTAATTTAAATAAATAAAATGCTTACTCTTGAATGATTGCCATCGACAAAGAATTCGGCCTCAGTCCGTCCCGAGCCTTGCACAATTGCCGGGGCTCCGAATACGTCCATCGTACCCGGGGCTGTACCCAGGGCATCCGAGCGACCGGATTCGGCGAACTGTCGGACCGGAGATGATACTCGTTTCCCCAAACGGAAGAGGACGTATGATCTGTCGTGTGATACTCCTGTGAACAAAAAAATAAAACTTATATTTAATGAGTTCGGTTTAGACTCAGAACATTTAGATTTTAGTCAAGGGCGCCGGGACCTAGTTTACTACCCTGAAATACTCCCAAGAGGTCGTGAGTTCGAATCTGACCGACATGCGACACCAGAATAATATTTGTTAGCGTAGATAGGTGCACCATGCCTAGATCTCGCGACCCTGGCATTATGGAAGAGGCCCTGGCGGCGAGGAAGAATGCCGTGGGGTTTTTAGTGAGTAGAAGTTTCAAAGTCCGTCCAACGGGTCGACGGTCCGACGAGTCTTCATAAGATTCCCTACGTAAAAAAAGACGGGATACACTATAATCATCCAATACAAAAGCGTGGTCCCAATTTTATACACAACCAAAACTTATGTAAGTTTAAACGTCCGCCAAGTCTACAGTATAAGTGGATACATTTCCTGAAACTCGTAATGTTATGTAATGTTATTGTGAATGTGTCTTGTTCCTGTACATGTCGATAAGTGTCTATTTTAACACACTGCTCTGGACAAATGCCAGAATGGAACGTAGGGCGCACGGCGCTTGGGAACGACTTTTAGGTGCCGCCGATGAATGAATCACTTATTGTTACAACACAGATACATATCTAGTGGTTTTGCATGGGCGCTGCTCGAGGGGACTGGTTTGTTCGAGGTACGGACACTGATTAAATTTGTTTGATTTAATTGTAGTATATAGGACCAACATTTATTAGTTTTTTAAATATTATTGTTTAATCATCATCTAGTAAACGTATGTACATGACTTAGTAGATTCGTATCCATAATAACAGTAGTTTAGTTCGTAAGTTAATCCTTATAACATTAGCTACATGCGAGTGAAAGTCCCGTCAAAATCAGGTAACCGAAACGCTTATATATATATAGATATATACTCCAGTTGTTTATATATTTTGTAATGTGGACAATATAAAATTGAAGACCAATTTACATTCCATTTCACATTTCATTACAAATTTGTAAACGGTTATTTGGAATTTACTCAAACAGTCGTTCATACAATTAATACTAAAGATAAATTAGCAACGATCTCGTTGCTGAAAATCTCATAAAATCTAATGAAAGCTTTGAAGTTTCCACCAAAATCTCTTTGATTACAGTGAACAATTTTCATGGTTCCCGTTTTGGGGTAAATTATTATTTTATTAAATAACTACGGTCGAAACACTAAGGCAATCTTTGAAGAATACAAAATGAGGTAATTATAACGCCGCTAAACGTTCTCATTAACCAATGAAATGATGATATTTTGGTCATTTATTGTCTGTGCTTACAGACCATAGATTGCCATAATTACGGTGTCGAGCACAGATATGAATTTACCTATAAAACGATTTCGTAATTACATGTACTTGGTGTGCTAATTTTTGAACCTAAATTAGCCACTTTATTGACTTTCACTTCAATTAAATTTCAAGTTACTGGATACAATGTACCAAAATAATTCTTTTTGAGGATTACATATATATTATAGTTGATAATAATAACATTTAGACAGATAAAGACAGAGCAAGTCGGTAGCTTAGTGAGTATTTCTATTTATTTTAGTAGTCCTTTTTTCTTCTACCAAAGATTTAAAGTTAAGTTAAAAAAAATTAAACAAATATAGCTGTAAGCTAAATAATATATTAAATTGATAATTTAAATATGGTCTAGCAATACTTCAAAAAGCCATTTATTATATAACACACAGTATAGAAAATATACACGTTCGTTTTATCATAGTTTTACTGCCTCATAATGCTGACTATTTATATCTAAAGAATGTACAGTAAGGGGTACAGAATACTTTTAAAGTAGGTACCAAAAATAAAGAATAAAATAAATGTTAGGTGCTACATGGTAAACTGTCCTACGACGTATAAATATATATTACAATATTTACATTCATTTAACAATAAGTTACAATTATTCTTACAAGTGGTTACAATCACAGTGGTTGTAATCACAAATCACTTGAAAATAATATTCATAGATTACACAGATCGTCAACAGTGCACAGAAGCTTTCAGAATAACAAAGGGTCGTGCATTAAATATCAGTATAGTACGAAAACGAAATGACAAATAACCCGACCGGCGAGGGAAGGTACGCATTCCCGTAGTTATTTATTACTAGTTCGCGACAAACAAGATTTGCCGGCTACACGGCAGAGTAAACATTCATAGCAGATGGAAGCGATAACTTACTTTTGTGAGTTTGTTGCATCGTTGAAATAGAAACTGGTATTGCAGAGGAATAATTTATAAAGTTTTCTACTAAAAAACACCGTATTCAATCTTCGCGAAATTAGTTTACAGTCAGCTACGGAATAAACTGTATTACTACTGATTTAAGGAATATATGCATGAACTTGGCAATTGACATAAAGTTATAATGTGACGTTATGCGTTACCATTCCAGAGAACTAAAATGTCACTATTCTGTAATTTATTAATCCTATAGATACCTTAATGGATTTATATTAGTTTCCTTCAACTGCGTCACTATCAGTATGCATGAGATCACGAATACCCAGTGCGGAAACCTAACCACCGCTACTGGAAACGTTACGACCATCTCTATTATAGATCAAATTCCGACCGTTATTGGATCTACACCCATATTGCAACACGTGTTTGACCTTTAAGCGAGGCATCATCAGGGAATGAAGAGAGGTTAAATATAGCTTCGAAGCCTAGTGTTGATTGTTCGATGACCAAAATGTAAATTTGTGTACGAAACTTCATTCGAATCTTCATGTTTTATGTGGAAGAGTAACAAACATTCATCCTTAATTTTTGTTTTGTTTTAAGTGTGTTTTATTATTTCTGTTTTTTTTTCCAATTTTACTTTACGACCATTGTGAGTGTCGTGTTCTGAGCATAGATAGCATTTTATTCATTCACTCTTACAAGGTCTATGTATGGTTTAGAGGCATGATGGTCGAGTTCTTCTTTTTGTAATCCGTTAAAAATATTTTCTTTCAAGCACTTCATTCATCGTAAATTTATGTTGAAATTGAAAGGTAAGATAAATATTTCTCATATTCAAAGTTAGGCATTAATAAAAGCCTTTCACAGCGCCAAATATGTCACATAATACGAAGTAATATTTGATGGTGCTACAAATCTTGGTTATTGCATCGAATGTCTCATCGAAATATCGAGTGATGATAAAATAATCTCTGTCTCAATCGAGTGACGTGGGTATTCAATTTACAAGGCGTCTTCAAAATCGATTGACAAAATGAGGGCAATTTTCTCGTGCCGAGTGGGCGAGTAACAATGAACTGTACTGATATCCCAGTATTCTGTGAATAAAAGTGAATCATTCTGTTTTTTCCATCAACAAATGACACATTGTTTTTTTATGTCTTAGAAGAATATACCGCACGATGCTGTAAAATTTGATCGAACCTGTGACTATCTGAGGTAAGACGGTGTGCTAAACCGATAGACTATCGAGGCCGTCGCACAGTAATATAGTAAAATACTGCGATGTATTAGGTTTAAGGCACAAATTGAGAGAGATGTTATAATTTCGTCGTTTCGTATGAGACTAACTGTTTTAATATTGGCAACCCTAAATCTGAAATTATTCACAGTTAGTTATGAGTTGGCGTCCGGGCGGCATGCGGCAGGTGTAATCATTTTATACCTACTGTTGGTCTCAAATATTTTTCATGGACGATGATCGAATGGCCAGTGTTGTGGTCTAGCATATTAATACAATAATGAATAATGAACTTATTTTTTTTATACTACTATAGTGGCAAACAAGCATACGGTCGATCGGATGGTAAATACTCTACGTAGCCTATGGCCACCTGAAACACCAGGGGTGTTACGTGCGCGTTGTTATTATTATTAAACTTATTAAATTCACACAGCGCTATCTACTAGATAATAGATATAATTACATAGACTTTTTGTTTTGTAAATACATATGCATAGGAAACATTCAGATCGACACAAATAATCATACTGATAAATATATTTGACTAAATAACATTTAGGCAATTTTCATTTCTAGGCATTGACGGTTAGGCAAATTGATTCATAGTCAATTGACTTAGTAGATGTTACAACACTAGTACACAGTATACAGCAGTGGTTCCCAAACTTTTTGACGTAGACCCCTTGTCATATTTTTCGGGTTTGGGTAGACCCCCCATTCTTATCTGGTATTGATTTTTTGTAAATTTCTAACTGTAGTAAAGTTTAGTGTTCAAAACATAAAGTAGAAACAACAAGATGACGGCTGACGTAGACCCCTTGCAGTTTGTCATAGACCCCTGGGGTTCGATATAGACCACTTTGGGAATCATTGGTTTACAGTAAAACATGTAGTTTTTACATACTACATGTTTTATCTACAAGTGGATAAGTAAACTGCCGCAGTAGCAGGTTACAATACGTTTAATCTTAAATTACAATACATTAATTCTTAATCTCCTGTCAATTTATAATTGCCAATATTTCAGTGCGACTTTCAGCACAATATTCAATGGGATATTACAAAAATGTTCAGCTTAAAAAGAAATATCCAGCCTCCAGTTAGTTCTAACCGGAAATTAAAATGAAATTGAATATAGCATATGGCAGTATTAGTAGTTTTATTGAAAGTAGATCGATATACTATGGTACGGTAGAGAAAAATATTATTAGTACAAAAAACTTAAAAGAAAAGATTTTTTAATTTCGAATTCAATATCTATATTTATATTATATCAATATTTTGACAGACTCGGTGGTCAAGCGGTTTAACATATCGCTTTACCTCTGATGGTCGCGGGTTCGATTCCTCGCATAACTTTTGTAGTCATCAGTACGATTGTTTGTATCGATCTGGGTGTTTTCTAAACATATTACGTACATATGTATTTACAAAATAAAAAATATCTATGTATTTATATCAGTCTAATACCCATAACAAGTTCAGCTTAACGTGGGACTAGATGGCGCTGCGTGAATT